GAAACCGAACATGTTGATCTCAGTGCATATAACTGATATTTTAATTTTATAGGCTTCTTATAGTCCCAATATACGCGATATGGTGGTATTCATCCATTTTTGCTTTTCATCTGATTGTAAGCCGTTTATGTTGGTCAAAATCTGTGAACTTTTTTTATTAACCATAATATGGCTGAATAGACTAGGGTAGATCATTTTTAAAGCAAAAAAATTAATATCAGAATGAAACCCATTGGAAAAGAACGATAAAGTAACAAAAAAGCTATGAAAAAAAAATTACCGCCGATGCGAGGTCGGAAAGAGAAAAAAGAAGGGCGAGGTTGAACTTTTAAAGGTTAAAAACACGAAGTTGTTGATAATAAAAATAACTACACCTTTACAATCCCATTTTTGACATAACCTCAAAACTTATGTAAATAATTCAAATAACCAAGTTTTTTGATTTTTTATTTTTATCTTGTACAAAAAATATTTTTTCTTTTACAAAATTTGGTGTAGAATTACTTCTTATGGCCAAAAAATTTATTTTTTTATTTAACTTACTAACTTGTTTGCAATTTCAATCGAAAAGTATTACGTCAAAATAATAACTTTTTAATTTGGTGAGATTTATGTCTGTTGAAATCTCTATTTTCTGATGGTGACAAAAAATAGTCATTACTATAGTAAGTTTTTTTAAGAAAATGCTAAAAAGACCCCACTAAACGATTCAAACCTGCATTTTGACTGCTGCTATTACTAAATAACAGGTCAGCGAAAGTTTCACCTGCAATTATTTTCTAGCCTTTGATTCTTGAAAATTCCGAAAGTCCCTTCTTACTTGTATTAATGTAAACATGTTCGCATCTACTAATTTACAAAGGTTTGTCAATTTTACGAAATACTTTTAATTTCAGTTATTTAAGTTAATAATAAAAACTTAGCAAATCTAAGCGTCTTTAAAGATTAAAATTACATGCTGAGGTATCGTTCAAAAAGCTTCGATATAATGTGCTGCAGAAGCATTTTAGACTTCGATTGCAAATACCGCATTATACTAACAATGCACCGCATTCATGTCACTACCATATACATACATAGATATCTACTGTTTATCTACATACGTACAGAGATTTGGATTGATGGCAATTGCATAACATATGTGCATTAGTATGCAGAAAACTATACAAGTGTACAAATGTGGCACCAAACAAACGTATAAATGCATATGTAAGATTTTTATAAATGAAAATGTTTGTATATTTGTAAATAAGTATTAGTACTGTTAAGTGTGAGTATAACTTTGCATTTTCGCCCCATTTATATGCAAATAAATCACCGCAACGCATCAGATCGCATCGCGGCGCCTGCTGCACCCGCCCACCGATTGCGGCTTGTGGCAATACGTTTATATGAAAACATACACACACACATATCAAAAGTATGTACGTATGCGAGCATGCGTGTCTTTTATCTCAGCACACTATTTGTCATTGCTTTTAAGTTCGTTTTTCCGCTGCCGCAGCTTTTTGCACTTTCTTTATTTCATTTGGCTTTTGTTTTTTGTTGTGAGTAGCGCTTTTTTATTTTAGTTTATTTTGAATGCCATATTGCCATGTGATATTTTAAAATGAAAATCCCGCCACGATTAATACGCTCACACATTTGTGTACACACCGTAATCTGGTACAACGCATAAAAATGTGTATACTCACTTACACACAGTTTGAAAGTGTGCCTGTGTGTATACAATGGCAAATTCAGTCTATGCCAAAATGCACAATTTTCACATTCGACTAAATTTATTCGACACTGGGATTCGAAATGCATAAATTCACCAATGAAACACCAATAAATAAATTAAACGCATGGCTACCAGGCAAAGAGGGTGGTTAGAGATTGAAGCTCGAAGGGATTGTGGTAATGAAGGCACAGCATTTGTGTATATATCTATTTTGTTAACTTCACATGAGCATTTTATGACCAAAAATTAAAATATTTTTAAATAATTTTGCATATATGGTATATGGTAACATCTTGAAAGGTAGTTATAAATTTTCTACCAGCAATTCATATATATTATATATATATAAACATATATATATAAACATATATATATATATTTACATCTATTTTATATACATTTATATACATATATGTACATATATGTCACTACATTTGTTAACATATCTTTTAAACACAGTTTGTAAGCTAATCATACATTCCTTCAGCATCACTCTACTGAGCACGTTTATCTCATGTACTTGCATACTACTAACAAATAAGCAATTTCAACTGTAGGCAGTAGCAAACAATGCTCGCCATCGATATCCACACTTCAGCAGTTCAATCGAGGCGAGAAACAAGCCGCTGAACCACTTAAGTGTGTAATTGTATATTTATCTCTATTATTTAATAAACGATCAGCTCCGACAATACATCGGAAGCTCTTCATGTGAAAAGACAAATGCTACAATTTGCACTGGACGGACTTTATATTATATATACAAAGTTACATATAGTATATTTGATTGATATTTGTGAGCTAGAGTATAGGAATCATTGAGGTAATACTTATCACGCCACAGTTTAAAGTGAACGTAAAAATTTAATAGAAACCGTCAATGCAACAAAAAAAATGAATCGTCACAGACCCTTTTACTACTACTACTTTTGAATAATAAGTTTACATAAACATTGATTTAATTGGATACATATGCATGTACAATTATGTTTTATTTTGTTATATATGTACATACATTTCACCCTCTTTGCAAACAGCTCTGTCTTTATTTCTGTGTCCGCTTGACCTACTGTACCTTTTAGCTCCAATGTGAAGTGCAAAACATGATGTCGATAATTTATTTAATTTCACTTACTCCATTTGGTAAATCTATTAGAGAAGATATTGCCCATATACTTATGCACACTTACATATTCGTCATGGTATGGATATGTCAATAAAAATACCTTTCGTCTATTATTGCGTTATCGAATTGAACTAATACAATAGATATAAAACTTATGTAAAGTTGCAGACATTTTAGTATGGTTGTATACGGTACAACTGTGGTGGCTAAGACTTATGATGACAGTGAAGAATTAGAAGAGCCTTTGTTGCCGTCGAAGTTAGTGCAGTTGCAGTTAATACTGTGGTGTCTGATATTATATTACAGTAGATACATGGCATGTATTTGGATATTGATGATGAAAGTATACATTTTATTACCTAAACCTATGTTTTGCTCTGTTATTTTACGAAAACAGTATTAAGAAGTAAGGAAGAGCTAAGTTCTGATGTAACCGAACATTTTATACTCTTTTTACGATTTTACCCATTTCCACAGGGTTTGAAAAGGTGATAAAATTACTCCTTCTCAGCAAGCTTGGCTGATAAAGCTTAAGCGGTTTGGAAGATATGTACACTAAACCATTTAGGGGGCGGCACCTCGCCCACTTTTCCAATGGTTTTAGCCCACAGGTGTCCCTGGCTACTGCGATCTCCTGTATCAAATTACAGTTTACATCTTAATTTGAGACTTGGTTATGGCACTTTCAAAGTTTTCGTTTAAATTCCGCACATTTTCAATACCAACCTCTCTTGGACGTACAGACAGGCTTATCACCCATTATTTATATATATATGTATAACTCTATATCTATCTCGATGGGTTTAATGTGATACAAATAACCGTTAGGTGAACAAAACTAGTATACTCTGTGCAAAATGTTGCGAGAGTATAAAAATTCTTAATATCTGTACTCTTTACTTTGTAAACTTACATTTTCTATTCCTTAAAATGTTCGACGCCAAGTTATTGAAGTTTGATTTTATGCAAATTATAAATGTACCACAAACTGAAAAAATTAAATATCAGCAAAAGTGAGGGTTGGGACTATAAAAGATACCGTGGGACAGTTGATAGAGCTAAGATATATCTTTACATATGTATGGTTGTGTAAATTTGCATGTTTGCACTTAATTTACTTTTAATATGCACACCTGACGCATAACAGGCGCTTTCAAAATTCTATGAGCAGGTGAGGAGCACATCCAGACGAACAAAATTTATGCGAATAGATATATATAAATTAAGATTATGTGTCTGTAAGATGTAGGTGGCTGCTGCAAGAAGAGATAATAGATGAGAATTTAGCTATCCTAGACTGGTTGCAACCTCACTCCGCTCCCACATTCGGGCTCATGCTTCTTGTTCGCCAAGTGCAATTTGTGTCGCGGAGAAATTGTGTTGGGACTTGTGCCACAAAAATACATCCCGCTGTTAATTATGTTGATTAAATGCTACTGGCTGACGATATGGCGCATCTTCCTTATCTTTTTATTAATATTTACTTTTCCGGGCCACACTTCCATCTTAAACATATTTACGTATAATATGTATGTATATGAAGAGCCATGTAAAAGCACATGTTTGAATGTAACGAATGTAAATCCATCGACCAATACAATGGTGTCTTATCATGCGAAGTATGATGTGCCAGATGCGTTTTATAGCCGCCAACCGAGTCACGGTTAAGGCAGAATAAACGCCATTTACCTGCGTCGACTTTTGTTAATGTTTTATTTAAAATCCGAGTTGGTGTAATATATATATATTATATATAGCAATGGAAGTATTTGATTAAACTATGCACAGATTTATGAGTATATCTATGCGTGGCTTATAACAAAAACGATACCTTATTTTGTTAGAAATATTATTTATGTAATTATAATTAATTCAAAATAAAAAACAGTATATAATTATATATATTTAGCCTGTTTAAAGTAAATCCAAAAGTATCCTCTTTTTACACTTTTCGTCTCCTATTTGGAACTTATTGTTTTGTTTTAAAACTGATTGGTGATTTTTAATAAATTCGTGATGGAATTATTAATAATAATAATAATTATACATACATATATAAAGGTAGATATCATCTAGTATTATTGTCCCGAATTTACTCTTTTAATATATCTTATTTTGGATACTTTTAACAACATTTTCTTTTCTTTTCAGGTAAGAGATACTCAGAATCTCTTGCGGGCTCACTTCTTCCGGATTGGCTAGGTAAGTACCAAAATAAAACCGTATAAAAGCGACCAACCATTTTTGATTTGTACAACCCCGTTTAATATTGTTTTGTATTAATTATATTTTGCAAGTCATATTTATATACGAGAACAACGCAAAATTCATATGTATTTTGGTTTTCAAGTGACTGAAAGGTCAACAATTATTTTTCCTTTTGGCTTGAAATACAAAATTTCGTCATATATTTATATATCGTTGGCTTAGCGGGAAAACGGGAAAACTATATTATTTATTAAAGAAAACATTTATATTGTGTAAATAAAAGTTTACCGTGAACTGGTAAGCAGTAATTTTTCTGAAATATTCATCGATAATTATTTTTTAAGGTCGCTATAACTCTATTGAAGAAATTCAATCAAATCTTGCACGTGTATGTGGTAACTTTTTTCTAAAAATTTATTTTGAGTTCTGTTATTTTATTACATTAAAAACTAAATTTTCATAAATAGGGGACGTGTACTCTAAGCCACCGATATTAATTTCTTCACACGGATGTCTCTTTTTTAAGGAAAATTTTGAATTTTACCCTGCTTTTTGATTTTGTAATCTTTTGATTTTGATTAGATAGATTATTATAAAATAAAATCTTATCCGAATTTATTATAAATTAACCACTTTATAAAACTATGAAATTGGGTTGACAAACATTAATTTATGCAACACACACACACCCTACAAAACTTCACAGACTTTTATAAGTATTCAGAAACATAATATATGAAGTATAACTAAATTAATTTTTGAAATTATAAGCAGTTTTTACCTCAAAAAAAGGAAACACACACATACAGAAAAATACTAAACAGAAACGCTTTTTTGCTGTTGCATATATTAAAAACTTAATAAGAATATTTACATACATTGAAGAGTATATTAAAATAGCTTTTTTGAATTTTGTTTTATTATTGATTGTGTGTTTAGTTCTCCTCTCCAACGTAAATATTATTTTTTGAAAAGAAAAGTCAAGTTCAATACCGAAGGAGCGATGATGGGCTTGTTGTCGCTGTTACAAGTCACTGGGCATCGAAAGCAGAAGGTAACCAATTCAAGTGATCATAAAATTTTAGATGTTGTACTTTTAAATGTTTCTGAAAACGCTAGCGCATTAAATATCTGTTTTCTTCCTACCTTTAAATAAAGACAATATGACTCATATGAATAATATTATAAATTAACATAAAACATTACAATGTACAAAAACACATAGGTATACACAAATTTATTGGTACAGTAACGAATGGCATGCGCATGTGAGATTTAGTGGCATAGGTATATATATATATATATGTTTATTAATTTCATCAAAGTAATGTGAGTTTAAAATGTAATGAACAGGGCAAAAGACAATGCAGCGATTTGTTACTCATTAAATTATTTAATTGACAACTTAACGTAACTATTTCATGCATTTGTTAAGGGGCAGAACAAAGATATTATTGTACTATGATTGCATGGTGTATTCAATTAATATATCAAATGTGTTATGGTCACGCACCTATATGTAAATTGAAAATTAAAACAAACAAAAAACATGAATTTTCAAATTCCAAAAACTTAATGAAATTTCCTATTGTTATTATCATTAAAATAATATACCAAAAAATTCTTTTTGAAATATTGATATGATTTCGAGGTTTGATTCCAATATTATTCGTTACAAAACGAAGGAATGGATAAAATTCATTACAAGTATATTCATTATGTATATGTACCTGTATTAATAAAATGATTTAGCAAATTTTTAGAAGAATACCCTGTGCAATGGATTGCCTTTATCTATTTGGAAGATAATTTAACAATCTTATGGACCATATTTTATTTGTGTGACGGAAAGTCAGCTAAAATAAGGTGAAATCCATAGTCTGGCCTTTAAAATAAATTTTATGTATATAGTACTGTTATAATGTCCTGTATAATAACGTTTCCAGCAAAAAGCCCTGGAAAGTTATGAGAGAAGGGATAATTTTTGGAACATAATAAGTTATATTATTATGTGCACCAGTCAGCCAATAAAATCAATATAATTCTTTAAATTAATATGTTTTAATGATTCGTATACGCATAAGATATGTTATGTACCGATTCCAAGGGTGCGTTTGTCAATAATGTGCTAAATAAAAAAAAACTTGAATGTTCTCTTTCACTTTATTTGTGTACAAACATTCATGAATGCATAAAAACCTTCTTACTCTAGGCTTTGTCATGAAAGCTCTTAAGAGAAACGTAAAATCCATTAGAAAATTAATAAATAAAATACAAGAATGCGGTTTACCATTACAAAGCTCAAACTCTTACAATTATTCTTCCATGTGTGCATACAAAGATGAAACCCCATAATACATAGAAGAAAATTTATTTATTTATTCGGCTTATGTTCATCGAACAAGCAAATTGATTCAGCAACGACAAAAGAGAAGCCCATAAACCACACATACTAAGAAAAGGGAAGATTCTTAACTTACATGTATTAATTTAATGAATTGGATAGCTTTAGCGTAAGAGTGGAGTTGATGTATACTTACATATATGATACAAAAATTAAAAAAAAAATTGCGAATTGTGGACATTAACATTATGATTGATGTATTCCAATATTTTAATTAACTTTTTTTTTTAATAAATATTATATAAAATACATATATATTATAAAATAAAAATAGATATATTAAAATTAAATTAAAGAGAATACTTATTACGTGAGGATCATCGTAACGTACTAAAGCTTCCTTTCTAACACCTGAAACCCTTCGTTTACTGCCAAATTTCCTACTAAAAGATGTGTAGTTGTTTGTGGAAGCCTGAAGTACTTTCAAACAGCAATTAACGAATCACTATGGTTTAGGCTGGCACAGATAGGAGCTATCTGCAAAGCACCAATAGCAAAAGCAATTGTTTGTGAGTAACAGTTAATATGAATGACCCTGTGTGAGTATGTTTCGGCCAGTAGCTCCGTTTCGCGCCCACACACTTCACTGAACAATTCAGTCACCCGCTCAACTCCAGTTAATTTAATCATGCTTTTGGGCTGTTGGCGTGTTTGCAAAATTTATAGGTGCATTATAGCATATATGGCTATATGAGATGCAGAACTCCCGAAATCGTCTGCCTTTAACTAGGAGAATTTGGACGGTATTAGTAACGTTGTTTTTGCAGGGACTGTGACTGAAAAGCATTTATAGTTTTTGTTATTTGTTTGCTTAAGTATATGAGCATACCTACTCACAATTATGCATCACTTCGTATGACCAGTTATCACAATTTTGTACCCTGAGAGTTTGTAGTACAGTCGGGCACTATGTTACCGCTGCCGACGTAGTTTAATTGCTCTATTGAGATACAGCAAATTAGTTAAATGGCAGTAAGTAACAAACAGTACGCTTTTGTATTTGTTCATTGACAACAACCGGTGTGCACATATAGTTAAAATAGTAAACACATATACACGAATTTTGTTGTCAAGAAAGAACACACATTTACCACCAATAAGTATGACAATTGTATATGGTTGTATTACATTTATAACTCATCTGAAGAAATATTAAATGGAGTTGTCTAGACCCTAGTACTATATATGTACCTATACATCCCAACTTCTGTACTTTCATATATTATAAAAAAATATTTTTTTGGTTTGAACAAGAAAGATGACTGTTTCTTTTTTTGATATATTGAAATTTTATTTTAAAACTAAAAAGAAAAGAATTCAACAAAAAGATAATTTTTAATTTGCTTAACTCTTGCTTTTAGAGTAAACCTGTTTGTACCATATATTTTCTTCTAAGCTGGCTTCAAATTTTTGAATTATATGGCTTTTATTTTTCATATGTTTATGGTATTTGCATAATTATAGTTTATTCCTGTCACAATACTTTTTCCTCATACGTTCTTTTATTCAGCGCAGGCACATGCCATATTATGTGCAAATGCTCGCACACCCTGTAGAGAAATAAGTAATACAGAACTTTAGAAAAAAAGAACGGTAGTGTTTGTTCTTTCGATTGTTCATAAAATACTTTTAATAACTAAATTTAGATATGTAGTAAGTATTTAAAAATAATAACTTATTCTCATGAAAAGAGCAGGTATTTTTGTTTGATAATCATATATTTACAATTCGAAAGTTTTATGTTACTTTTTGTATGCTTAATACCTTAAAAATTATTAATACATGCCTTTAATATTTAATTACTATTTAAGATAAATCCCAGATTAAAAGCGCATAGTAATAAACAAGTGCATAATTTTTGTCTAAAAAGTAAGTTAATGGCAAATTCTAATTAAAATTGCCAATCTAGCAAGATAAGTATTTAATAGATCGTAAAGTTTAAGAACCTTTCCCTTATACAAACTATTTAAAAACAACAATTACAAGTAAGTAAGGGCTAAGTTAAATATAGATCACTGCGTCACTAAGGCCACTCGAGGCGGCTCTATCTCCGCTAATATTCCAACGAGGGACATGTGGATGGAAAGAAGCCGCTGGAGAAGAGGCGCGGTGAGCTTTTTCACGGATGGATCGAGGCTAGGAGGGAAGATTGAAAGGGGGGTTTTCTGCAAGGAGCTCTCCGTCAGTCTTAGCTTCAGGCTACCGGACCACTGTAGTGTTTTTCAGGCTGAAGTGGCTGCTATCAAAGTGGCGGTAGAAGTACTGCTGCGTAGTGCAGCCTCGTTTGTAGAAGTGAGCATCCACTCCGATAGTAGGTCGGCAATACTAGCTTTGAGCGCGCGAACCGTGCAATCAAAGCTAGTCAAGGAGTGTTTGTCCTCACTAGAGATAGCGGCTGGCTATTTCAACATCAGGCTCGTTGGATGCCTGGTCACAGCGGAATCGCTGGAAACTGTAAAGCCGATGAGCTAGCCAGGGGGCACCCTTGCCCCGCTCACATCAGAATGGGATTGGGTTCGATCTCCGTTAACGTCTTGCGCTCTAGCTTTGAATCAATGGACCTCGCGTGCACTCAGCAGACGCTGGTCGA